GTTCCAGCAGCTCTGCTGGAGTTGCCAGGAAGGGGGCTGCCTGAGCTTCTGCTTCAATTGGGTAGGATTTTTTTTTTTTTTTTTGCCTTCAAACTGTCAATGATTTTTCAATATATGCTGTATACTAAATTTTAGGTATTAATTAATGAAGAGTTTAATTTCAGTCTCTGAAATAGTTTGTGTTTAACCTCCTTTGCCTTCCCCACAATTATGAGATTTCTTACACCTGCTTCCTTCTAAAGAAACTTGGCACTTAAAAATAAGGTATTATGGTGATTATGTAACAAATGTGTTTAACTATAAGGATAATTATTATCTCTGCAGGAAAATTTGCCTGCTATAATATCTGGCCATGTAACTTTCACAGGACAGTAACAAGTTTTTTATGTGCAAAGCAAATGTTTATTGCTTAGACAGGACATGGTCTCTGGGGAAACATCAAGCACATAATGAACAGTAAACCTGTTCTCTTGTTAAGGAAAAAACTCTTATAGACTTCTTTAAAAGGATGCAACTATTATGTTCTTCCACACAAAAGTAGCCATTATCTAGAAAAGAAAGGATTTTCTTGCCAAAGTATTATTTGCCACTGAGAATATTAAAAGCCGCGATAAACCTCTCAAGATCTTGTAGCTTTCCTTCTTTTTTTTAATGCAGCTGCAATAATTGTAGCAACTTCTCTTTCTAAATAAGAATTTGTAGAATTTGCTGTTGGAGCTACTTTATCATCAGTTTCCAAACTGATGCACTAACTGATGCACTAATGTGCTTGCAATTTTGTTCAAATTTTTGCTCAAAACTGAATCTGAGTAATAGAAAATATAACTTGTATTATCTAAGCACAGAGGATATAGGTACACATCCAGGAACACATCAGGTAGACTGATTTCACCTAAAGCTGATAAGATTTTCAGTACTATAGTATATTTTAAAATCTTAATTTGTTTTCAATATTTAGTGTCATTCTTGCTCAAGGAATGCAGTAAGAGAGTCTCTCGCCTCCCTTCTTAAAAAAAAAAAAAAAACAAAAAAAAAAACCAAAAAACGAAAAAAACCAACCCCCCCCCACACACAGAGAAAACACAGTCAGAACAGCTAGTGTTTACCTATAAAGCAGCTGCTTTACACCCATTAAATCTGTGCTTTGAGTGTTCGCTTGCAATATCAAAGACCGAAGTTCAGATCTCCTGGTTGAGGCTCTGCATCTTCCTGACGTAGACAAGGGATTTGATGCCAGGGAGCAGCCATGCCTGCTTTCTGACGTTCCGATGTTTGGATACCAGAGCACTCATAACAGATCTTAAGGGAATTATCTCCTAATTTCATGAATGATGTAGACAGGTTCTTGATCAGGATGCATAAAATCTCTTCATATCCTTTTAGCAGTGTGAGGAAAAGACAAGGGCTATGGAGGGCTTTGCGCTTTTGTGGGCTTTGTGCTTGTTACTTATAACAACGCTAACTCCTAGTTAACAGGACGCGTAGATTTTCCCATGCGTCTGTAGCTTAAATGCTTTTTCTTTCTTCCACAGAAGTCTCTTTAGCATGCAGGAGCCAATGGTTCCCAGCAGGAACTTAATAATATGCCTTTGCAAAAGCAAGGCCTGGCAATATTGGCTCTAAATATTAAGCAAGGCCTCTGCGCAGGATGTTTGCTTTAAACAGATTAAGTGCAGCCAAGAAACAGGGTATTGGGTCACTGATTTCTCTCTTTTCCCATTTCTCATTCCCTCATGAAGAAAATTCTGAGGGTTTATTTTTGTGTCTTTG